CCATTTCTTTTTTTTTGCATTTTTTAACCAATTAGCTTTCATTTTATTAAATTCATCTAATTTAGCTTTAGCTTTTTCAGGTGTTAAATCTTCAGGTTCATGAAATGTATATTCCCACATTTGTAATTCTTTACGCATATCTTCAGATAATTAAGGAACTTGATTAGCCACATCTCCTAATAAATCTTTAACAACACTATATATAGGATTTCTAGAGATTGGTACTTTCTTAGCCAATTTAACCCATAATTCTAATTTACGTAATACTAATTCTTTGACTTCTTCTTCATCTATAGTATGACATGATTATCTTAATAATTTAACATCTCCATTCCAAGGTATATCTTATTTTAATACTTAACATATTTCATCTGATGAAAAATTAAAGAAATTCATAATTTCATGTGTAAACCATAATTATTCACCTAAATTTAATTCTTCAAATTCTATTTTAAATTATTCTGGATCATTAAGATCTGGTTTAGGAGGTGGTGGTGTTTTAACTTCTTCAAATATATCATCAACAATTTCTGTTGCTATTTTTAATGCAAATTTATTTTTTATTTATTTTTGAAATTCTTTTCTTCCATTAGTTAATTCATCATCTATAAATGAAATACCTGTTAATTTTAAATTAGGTAATTAAGTTAAACATGGAGGTTCACATTTCAATTCCCATTCTTCATTAAATACACCTGCTTATTTTGATAGAAAACTAAACACAAATTTAATTCTTTCTCCTGGCTTTATAACATTTTAATCATGATGACAAAAGAACCTCTCTTCATTTATATCTTAAATTGAATTAGGTTATTTCCTAACACTTTCAATTCTCTTCCATTCATAATATATAGCTGCACTTCCATTATTTGAAACTACTACATTATCATAACCGACTGTTTCAGTTTTAACCAAAAATGATATATGCTCTTTCTTCATTTTCAACTTTACATATTTAATTTAAATTCATACCTAAGGACCTTCTACTTCATTTTTCTTCTCTTCTTCATCTAATTCAGATATTCTACTGATTGGTCCTTTTGGTGTACTTACTCTTGGATCTTAACCTCCTCTACTAATTTATGATGGAACACCTGAAGTAGGTTTCTTTAGCATTATTTTAGAACCACCTTGATTGAATGACTAAATTAAAAAAAAGTATTAAATACTGTTTAGTATTTGGTTTCGATTCCTGGAATCTATGAATATAATTTAGGTTATTTTGATTATTCATCTGCTTTTCTTCTAATATAGAATGTCTTCTTTTTTGGTTAAGTTTGATTTAAACTATCGTCCATGATAAAATATAAAATATAATTTATATAAAATCAAACAATTAATTCTTCTACTTCTCCTTCATTATCATCTATTTAACTAGGAACTTTAGACATATTTCTAAATTCATCATCATTTCCTCTCTTTCTCAATAATAATACAACACAATATCCAATCATCATACCTACAAATAAACTTATTAAACAAGCCATCATTACTTTTTTCTTTCTCCATCCCAAATAAAAATCAGCTATTTTAGATGCTTAACAATAATCTCCAGAATATCCAAACCAACAATAACATTCATGTTCAATACAAACACCATGTTCAGAACATCTTTTTGGACATTCATCCAACAACATTAATTAATAAGGATCTTCTTCTTATTAAGCTTTTGGTGGTACCATAGTTAATTAATAATTAGTAATATTTTGATCATTACTTTCAAGACTTTATGTTTAATATTATCTTTTTTTCTTAATAATATTGTTTTCATCAAAATTTTCATCATAAAGATCTTCTTCTCCTTCATTTTCTTATGATATATAATAATTCGATTATTTTTTAAATTTATATCCAGTAGATATAAAATCTTACATATTTACATTAGTTGTTCCAGTTTCAGGTTCATTATCATCATCTTTAAGTAATTACCAAATAGATTTATAATCATCAGATTAAGATACTACTGAACAATCAGGACCACTAAATCCATAATCACATTCACATAAACCTGTATAATAATTACATTTCCCATGACGATTACATTTATTTTTACATATTTCTTCTTCTTTCTTTTCTTCCTCTTTAGGATCTTCTCCACATGTTGAACCACTAAAACCTTCTTTACATTTACATTTTCCATCCAATTAACATTCACCATGTTCAGCATCAGTACAATTACTAGGACATGGTATTTGTAATTAACAAATAGATCCTGTAAATCCTGGATAACATCTGCAATATCCATTACTTAAACAAGTACCTTATCCTAAACAATTCTATCTACAAAGTACTTTTAATGTACAATCTATTCCCTACCAACCTTATTAACAACTACAATGACCAACTCTACAAACTCCTCCATTTCTACATGGAGGACATTATTCATTTGAATTAAGTAAAACAGCTGTTAATGAATCACTACAAGTTTAATCTAATTTACATCCACCAAAATGAATTAATAATTATCCAGCAAATACCATTCCTGCAAATTCTACAGCCTTCAAATTCTTTTTCTTAAAAGCATTTACAGTACTATAATGATTAGTAGTAGTATCAAATGCATATAAATCATTATAACATTCAAAAGTCTTTGGATTACATCCTCCTGCAATAAATATTCTATGATCATATTCAGCCAATGCTGCTCCTTATCTTGGAGATGGTACTTTCCCTGCTGGTTCCTTCTTTTCCCAAGTCAAATCCTCATTAATAGTATATACATCATTAAGAACTACTCCAGTAGCATATCCTCCAAATATATATGCAACACCATGATGAGAAATCATTGAGAAACTCTCTCTTCCTATAGGAATATCTCCACTTACAACAGGTTTTAACCATTTCTCATTTACAATGTCAAGAATATATACATCATTAGAGTATTTTTCACCCATAAATCCTCCAAATACTATTCCACCTATGGCTGTCAATACCATTTTGTGTCCTGCTCTTGGTGTTGGTGCTATTCCTGGCCAAAATAATTGATTCCAACTTTTACTCTCAAGATCAAATACAAATAAATCATTTGTTAACCCTTGTAAAGTATATCCTCCAAATATATAAAGTTTTGCTCCATTCACTAATGCTCCAAATCCAGTTCTACCTACTGGAGGAATACCAAATACTCTAGGAGAAGTCCATACACGAGTTCTTGCATCGAATAAAAAAAGATCATCAAAACATTTTATATCCAAGAAACATCCTCCAAATACAACTATAATATCTCCTATAGCATGCATGGAATGTCCTCCTCTATTTCTTGGAAAACTTTCATAAGCTATCAATGGAGTCCATTCAAATTCTTTTAATATTTATTCAGGTCTATCTTCAGTCTTTTTCTTTTCTTCATCATCTTCTTTAGGTACATATTTGACTCGAGTAATATCATTTAAATTCATAAGGTACATTTATCCACTAGCAGGATCAGTTGATTTCAAATACCAAGTTCCATCTGTTAATTAATATAGTGTTCCAACTTTTATTGTATACTCTTTGGGTTATTAATCATCTTCATCTATTTCATCAACACATTCAAATTAAGGAGCAGGATTTTCTAATTTATTTTTACTCCTTCCAAATCTAGCTATCAAAACGGGTTCATATTAACAATTAATTAAGCACAATAATAAAATTTATAATAACATAAAATATTATATTCATGTTCTTAACCACATTCATTAAATCGCATTTTACTAAATTAAGTGTACCCATTTTCAACTCTCATTCTGGCTCAAGAATAGATAAATTTCTTATAGAAGACCTTAATCGTAGTTGGAATGAAGTTTAAAAATTAATTAGAAATGGTGAAATTAATGTTAATAACAAAAAAATTAAAGATCATTAATTTGTATTAAAAGAAGGAGATGTAGTAACATATTGGGATAAATTAAAGAAATAAGTTGATACATAATTAAGACCAATTCCTAATATTAAAGCTTATGAAGAATTAAAAAAAATGATCCTATATGAGAATGATTAAATTATCATTCTAAATAAATTACATGGATATGCATCATAAGGAGGAGCCAATCCTAATTATAATATACCAGAGATTTTAAATTTATATTTTAAAAATTTCTACATTATTCATAGATTAGATTAATTAACATCTGGCCTTTTAATTATTGCTAAAAATAAAGATATTGCAACAGAAATAAGTAGGATTATTTAAGAAAAAGCCTTTATAACAAAGAAATATATTGCTATTGTTTAAGGTCAAACTAAAGTACAAAAAGGTTTAATTGACCGTCCATTATTATTTAATACTAATAATCAAAAATAAACATGTTATAATGAAGAATAATTATTAGAAGGTAAATATCTACCTGCTAGAACTTCTTATGAAGTTATCTAAGAATATTAATATCATGATGAAATGTATTCTGTACTTGATCTACAAATTTTTGAAGGTCGTAAACATTAAATTAGAGCACATTTAAGCTAAGTTCTTAAAACACCTATTCTTTTTGATTAAAAATATGGATTTTAGTTTACTAAAACTAATCGAGATTTACAAACATAAATATTTGGTGAAAATTAAGGAATTATGCTATAAGCAAAAAAGATAATATTTTAGAATTTTCCTGTTGACATTAATGAATAATTTTATTAAAATTCAAATGGAACAATGATTTAAAAAAATGGAAAATTAGAAATTGAGGCTACTTTTTCTACTGAATTTGAATCTCTTTTTTAAATATTATAAAAATGAAAAATTCTATATTTATAAATTATAATATACAATAATTATTGTTTAATAAATGAGGTATAAAATTAATATTTTACAAATCTATAAATTCAAAATAATAATTAAAAAATTATTATACTTTTTAGATTCTAATCATCTTTTATTAAAATAACTAATCTATTAATAATTTTTTAATAAATATTAAAGAATTAATTACAGAATAAAATTAAAAAACAGAACAATAAATAATAATATGATTAATTTAAGAAGATAATCAATAACTAAAATGATAATTTATTATTTAATATGTTACTCATTTTGGATCTAAAAAGAATTTATAAGTTTTTAATCTTCTTTGGTCTGCATCTATAGATTCCTTTAAAAATTTAGTTAAGATATCGTTTTATGACTTTAATAAGGTTTTTTCACAATATTCAATATATGAATTAATATTGTCATTAATTGGATATAGAGAATGATAGAACTCTTTTGCATATTCTGAACTCTTAGTTGAAAATATTGTTGGTAAGATTTCAAAATATTTCTATTCATAATTAAACAATTATTCTAAATGAATTTAATGATTAAATGCAGCCATTGCTTCTTTAACCATTTGAATACTTTCTTCTTTATTATAATTAATAAAATATTCCCAAAGTTTATCAAAATTGAATAGACTTTCTAAAAATCTTTTTTGTAATCTTACTTCATCTGTTCCATCTCTTTAAGCCCATTTTTCAAATAATTACCATTTTTGTTCTTTTGGAATGTTAAGATTAGCAAATATATTTCTAATAATTCTCCATCCATTTGACAATCCTATAAATCCAAATTCTGCTTCATCTGAATTTATATGTTATAATAAGAATTCCAAATTTTATTAAGATGTACCCCATAATGCCAAATAATCTAATAATATTAATCTTTTATTTTTATTTTCTTTTGGACATTTTCTCAATAATTCAATAATAACATCAGCCAATTCATTCTCAAAAGTTTATCTATGTTTGATTGGACAATAAAATGAAACACCTCCAGTACACCATTCTAAAACCATTTAAAGAACAGCATCATCAGTTTCATTCAATAAAGATTTTAATACACCATTTATGAATGTAGTAAAACTAGTAAGTCCATCTCTAACTTAATCCCAAATAGATCTTAAAACTAAAACTCTATTTATAGTTGAAAGATTAGAGAGATTCTTTAAAAAGAAATTTGCTTATTATTATGAATAAGAAGTTTTAACAAATGAACCATCATCAAAATTTAATAGTACAAATGCATTCTGATGTTCAAATTCTATAATAGTCTCTTCAACTGGATTTAATTAAATTAGTTTAACTTCTAATTCTTTACCATCTTGATCATATAATCCAACTTTAAACATTTAATTTCTTAAGGTTGGATGTAAATCTTTAAGTGTTGCTATTTATTTAAAAGTATAAATATTTTAATTAACTGAGACAAGTTCAACCAAATTTAAACCAGCTTTCATAATCCAATCTTATTACCATTAAAGTAAATAATCTCCTTCAAATTATTCTTTCAAAACTCCAAAGAAATCAGCAAGAGTAGTATTTGAATATTAATACTTATTAAAATATTATCCCATAGCTTAACTGAATTTTTGTTCTCCCATCATTGTGAATAATTATTTTAATAGAGCTGCACCTTTAGCATATGTAATACCATCAAAAATATTATCTGCTTGATCAGTATTTTGAACATCACAGAAAATAGGATGAGTAGTATTTCTTTGATCTGTTATATAACCCCAGATTTTACTCTTTAAGAATTCCACCCAATGATCAATAGGAATATTATGAACTTTAGATTAGCATAAATGGGATATAAATTCAGCAAAACTCTCATTTAACCATAAATCATCCCACCATTTCATAGTCACCAAATCTCCAAACCACATATGAGACAATTCATGCAACAACACATTTCCTCTTTAAGCAATTTAATCTATAGGTACTTCTTCTTTGAATATTTGACTATCATTTATAGTAACAGCTCCAGCATTTTCCATGGCTCCAGTAGCATATTCTGGACAAAATATTTGATCATATTTGCTAAATGGATATGGAAATTAGAATAATTATTCATAGTATTGCATACCATCCTTAGTTAGTTTAAATATGTCATTACTATCTCCTTATAAATATTATTTCAAAGAAACTCTACAGAACAAACTCATCTCAATTCCATTGTGTAATTGTTCACATTTGATCTCTTCATAAGGTCCTGCTACAATAGCATAAAGATAAGTAGACAATTTCTTTGTTGTCTGAAATTCCTATATTTAATAATCATCCTTATGTTAAATATAACCTAATTGTTAGACTTATGCCAATTCTACATTTTACATATTCCCTTCCAATTTCTTTTCATTGCTAATAATCTTCCATTCTTTTGGAGCCTGAGCAATCAATTTAAGAGTGCCTATTAAATTAATTTAATTTAAAACCTTTTAAATCTGGTTGATCAAAGCATGGAAAGATCTTGGAAAAATGATAAGGCTCACATTATGAATAAAGATATTATTGGTCATCTGAATCAATAAATGAATGTAATCCATAACCTGTAGTAGAATATTCATTCTCAAAATTAACTATAATCATTTAACTTTAAAATTTTACTTCTTATTTCTGTCAGACCTTAAAGATTTTCTTAGCCAACTAAAGTTATGAATCCATTTTCCAATTTCCATTCAACAGCATTACCATTCACTGTTATTCCATCAAGTTTACCACCTTACCAATCTAACAATAATCCATCACTTTTATGAATTTGAACAGAGATAAATATTACTCCTCTATAAAGTTTTCCTTTTAACAATTCTATATATATTTTGTAATCAACTTAAGAAAGTGATTCTGATCTCTTAAAAGCTATTTATTTTGTAAGCATGATGAATTTATATATATAATATTTAATATTTAAATGAACAAAACTTATTAAATGTACAACAAATAGTGAATATCACATTTAATTATCAATTCTAAATTATTCTTTAAAATATCTATTGAATTTATTAAAAATCACATCAGGTTCATCTATACTATTATTGATTGATTTCAATTTAGTTTATTCGTTTTTTAATATATTATTAATTTTATGAAGGTATAACTAATAGGCCTTCTTCTGTTTTATTTGGTTACTTCCAAAAACATACCATTATAATTAGAGATTGGGTTAATTCAATTTGAAGATCTTTAACCTGGAAAACTAAAATATTAAGTATGACAAATTGCAAATGAAAAATAAAGGAAATTTAATTTGATCAGCCATTTATCCGTGTCCCTTAGGTTGCATTAACAATTAATAGTCTAATGAATCATAATTCTTAAGTGTATTTCAGTAAGATATACAATGTGACTACAGATGGTACAATATTTTACATTAAGTATAGGATTTACAATAGGAGTTTTGAGTGGAACAGAATAATCATTAGAATATCGTTATATGGCTATCGTTGATGATAGAGTATAAGTGAATTGTTTGAATTTTAAAGTCAAAGAAATTGTGTTCATTCCTTATTTAAAGTATTCGCATCTAAAATCTCTAGATAGTTTGTCAAAGTACCTAAATCATGGGTATTCTTAACTGGAGTAAGATAATAAAGCAATACCTTCTCATTTTAATAGGGTATCCACAACTAATTTAAAATATAGATATCAGAAATGAAGGAATAATGCTTAAGTTCCAATCCATAGATACAGAAATATTAGGAGTTTGTGTTGTGGCTGGTGCTGTTGATATTCTATAGTCTAGAATCGATGATTTACCAACATTCTAAGGATATAATCTTATGAAACAATAAATAGCTTTATCTATAATAGCTTAATCAAGTTTTAATTGTGAAGATGAATGCTTATTATATTTTAGTAATTATTATTATAAGTTAGGGAATGATTAAACTAAATAATTAAAAATTAATACTGAATTTCATAATTAATAAGAAAAGCCATAAATATAAAAATTCATACCTTTAAGAAAAGAAAATCCTACAGTATCTTAAGATAAAGTAGAAAATCTAATAGAAAAGACAATTAAAATAGATAAGATTGAATAACCACACACATCTCATGAAGATAGTTTAAAGAAGATGATAAATTAATCAATTTTAAATTTGGAAGAATAAATAAATCATCCTAATGGAATTAATAGTTTTGATTCAAATCTTAATGAGATATCTTAATAAGAGAATATTGATAGTGTTATTGAAAGTGATAGTGATAGTGAATCTGAAGATGAAGAAGATGAGATTAATACAATTAAAATATCAAAACCTATTAATATTGAAGAAGAATTATAAAAATTAGAAAAGATTTCAGAAGACAGAACCAAAAAGATTAATATTATTGAATTTAATCCAAAAGAATCTATTAATGTTTCATTTTTATCTAGAAATAATATTGATATGTAAGAAGAAAGCAAAGCTGAAAAACTTATTGAATTAAAATATATAGATAGAGCACCTAAGTTTTCACCTAAAATTTAATAGATGTTCGAAGAAGCCAAAAAGAATATTGAAGTTGAATAATCAACTATAGATAAAGTAGAATCTAAAATAAATAATAAACTATTAATAAAAGATTAATTGAAATTAAAAACAGAAAGTTTAATGCAATAAATTGAGAACACATCACATACTGATCAAAAAGATATTTCTCAATAATTAACAATCAATAATAAAATTGAATAATAAACATTAGATATTCCTAATCAACCTATAAAAGAAGAATAAAAAGTTGCTCCATCAACTAATGAGAAATAAAATATTAAAAAACCAATTCTTAATGAATACGAAACAATTTTTGCTTAATTTGCTAACAATAATAATTTAAGATCTGTAAAACAATAATAACGCTTTTCTAGTCCATTATTTGACACAGAAATTACAATTGAATTAGATTAAGAAGAAGAATAAACTGAACCATAATAAGAATTAAAGGTTCTTAATCCAAGAGAAGAAAGACTATAAAAATATTTATAAAAAGCTGATGAAGTTGATCTCAATTTCTTAGAAAACATTAAACTTGTTTCGGAATAAAATGAATAATAAGAAAATCCAACAGTAGAACAAGATTAAATCTAAGAAGTCTTTGATCAATCCAATGTATCATATACTGAATAATTAAATTTGAGAAAAAGTAAATATTCTATTTATTATATATATTAGATCAAATTCTTTAAGAACTTCAATAGAAATACAATATTAAAGCTTCACCAATTTAGAGTTTTGAAGAATTCAAATTGAAAGTACCTTAAGATCAGTATCCATAAATATTGTATGAAAAATATCTAGAATAATTGAAAAAGCAACATATAGGAGCTAGTTTTATAGAAACAGATCACAATGTAAGATCTATAGAAAACTCATATTAACTTGAAGCAGCCTATTATGAATGGCATTTATAAAAAAACATATGAGTCAAACATCATCTATTCAATTATCAGTATATTTTAAAAATTAAAAATTTATTGATATTTATTATAAAATTGCTAATTTCAATTTACTTTTGCTTAAATTATACTACTGAAATGATAATATTAGAGTTTGATAATAAAAAGTTGAAAGCTTAATTTACAATTGTATAAAATAGTAGATATACTATATAAATTATTTTAATCATCTAATTATTTATCTCTTAATTTGAATATTACATTTTAGAAATTAATTTTATTTTCTATCATATTTTTATTAGTATGTATTGAATAATACAGGAGAGATTAAGTCAATAGAGAAAGGATATAATTATTGAAATGTAGAGTTGTTATTTATAAACGTAAATATATTAAATGAAGGCAACCTTAATAATAATGCATCAAAGATAAAATATACATTAAATTTAATGAATTTGCTAAAGTATTTTTATTTTAGAATCATTATTATAGATTTAATAGACAATTTATATTAAATTAGAATTGAGTAAGTAATAAATGGAACTGAATTTTAAAATGAATATAAATTATAAATATCATGAAATTTTATTGAAATAATTTTATTGGATAAAAATAATATTCAATTGAAGAATTCATGATTATTTTGTTTAAATGTTAGAAGAAATTGATAAAAATTATAAAAAACTTATCAATTACAATATAAACACTTTGCTATTCAAATTCTCAACGCTGTAGTTAATAATGAATTAATAATACAGTATTTTATATTTTATTAATGCAAACAGAGAGGAAGGAAGTAAAACTAGCTGGTAGTTGCGAGATGGAGGATCTAATTAGTAACGTTTAGTATGTTAATGTTTTAGTCTATCCTTACGAAGTGGTAAATCAGCATTTCAGTAGTTTTGTTGAAAATTCAAAGGAGTTTTAAGAAACAAGGGAATAGCTGACAAGAATAGGTTCCAATCTTCGTTTAAAAGTAGACGATTGGCCAACAATCGATGAAGCAAAAATCTTGTTCTAAATAAATATGTATAAGAATTGATTATCATAAATAAAGTTAGAATGCTCGTAGAAGAAGTGTAAAATGGAATGATTAAGATAAAAGATTATTTTATTGGGTGGTTATCAGATATTGTTTATTAAAAGAAATCAATTAACTTGTAATTAAAATTATTCTTAAAACTAAGACATCTATTGAATGGAGAGACATAGCTAAAATGATTATAGGGAGGAATGCACATTAATGTAGATTGAAATGGGAATAGAAATATAAAATTTCACTTTCAGAGGCTCCTTGGACAGAAGAAGAGGATTAACTACTATAATAAGTGCATGAGTATTAATTAAGCAATATCTTTAAGAGAGTTTAGTAGGTTGGGAAAGGAAAACAAATGGTCTTAAATAGCTAGAGAAATGTACAAGAGATCTCCTAATAAAATATTCAGATAACCAAAATAATGTAGAGAGAGATGGATAAATAGGTTGGATCCCAATATTTGCAAGTAATAAAATGTTTAATATGTAGTGAACCATGGTCAAAATAATAAGAAATAGATTTATTAAAAACTATATTAATAAGAGGAAAGAAATGGTCTGAATTATCTGCTCTTTATGGAAGAGTGAGAACAGAGAATTCTTTAAAGAATAAATACAATTCTTTATTAAAAAAAGAGAAATTAAAGTATGAATTTGAAACAATTAATCCACAATTATTTTCAAAAGTATAAAAGTTAAGAATGGATTATGCAAATAAATATGGAAAAATAACACCAATAGAAGAAATTGACAATTATGAATGGTAGTTTATAGTATTAGGAATATAAAGTTTATATATTGATTTATGTGTTTCAGAAGGTAAGTATGAAGAAGCATAAAAAATAAAAAATGATGATTTTTTTGATTTATTTCATTATGATTTATCATCTAGCCATAAGAGTGACATATTATACAAAAAATTATTGAATATCAAAAGAGTTGATAATCAATTTTTTGTAGAAAATGATAGATCTGGTGTTGTACTTTTTAATAAAAAAACAAAAAAGTTATTTATATCACCATTTAATACATTGGATTATTAAGGATTAATATTAAAACATATATACAAATAAATAAAAACAGAAGAGAATAATAATAATAGTAAATGTTCAACACTCATTTAATCTGATCATAATATGTTTATGATGTAAAAATCAATAGATGATATTAATCGATAAAGTACAATGTAGCCATTATTATTATTGGCTAATCAGCCATCATTTATGATGCCTATGGGATAGAGCATGATAAATAGTTATTGGTTGCCTCCTGTATTACCTTGTATGTCATAATCTATTGGAGGATATCAACATTAATAAAAGAATATTTAAGAATAAGTAGCATAAACTATTAAAGAAATCAATAAACCAGTAAGTTTTGATGATTTATTCGGTAATGATATCAAAGTTGTAGATTCTGATGGAGAAAAATGATAAATTTATGATCGTTAATCTTTTATTTTAAATAAATATATATTTTTATGTCCTCAAAGGATGAAGAACTTTAGGAAATGCTAATGAGATATGAGAATCTTGAAAAGCATAATCATCAATTACAAACTGAAAATTTAAATTTGATAAATCAATTAGAAAATCTTAAACAAGTATAAGGAATTCTTATAATATTAAGAATATTAAATAATTAGAAACAGAAAACAATGAATTGATTGATTAAATAGAGAATTTAAAGAATGATTTACGAACTTAATTTTAATTGAGTCAAAGTTTGAGATAAGAGAATGAATTCTTCGAAAATAAATTATAAGATTATAGAAAGGAGATGGAATAAGGTGGACAATATTATAATAAATTACTAGAAGATAATGATTAATATAAAACAAATATCTAACATAAAAACTAATAAATGGAATTTCTAATACAAGAGAATAATATGTATAAGGATTAAATAATTCAATTATAATAAGAAAATGATTAGATTACTCAAGAATTAAATAACTTATAAGAATTACTTAATTAAAATGAATTATATCATTAAGATCCTATAAATATTCAAAATTCTGATTAAAAGAAAAATAAAAAACAAACTAGAAGGTAAATTAAAGAATTAGAGAAATTAGTAATTAAAAGAGAATAAGAATTAAGTCATTTATATGGTAAAATGGAAGATATGAAAAATTATATTACACAAATTAAGCATCAATCTGATAAATATGAATAAAATTTATAATAATTATATAAAGATTATTAATAAATGGAAGCAGAAAGAAATAAATATGCTCATAAAATTGATTAGATGTAAAATTATAATGAGAGATATTCAACTTTATAGTAATAGTTATAAAACTAAGAAAAACATAAAAATAAAGAATTTAATTCATTAAAAAATTAGATTGATCAATTATAAATGCATAATTTGTAATATTAATAATAAATACAAAATATTAATGATGAATATGGAAAATTATCATAATAATGTATAGATTTATAAGAATTAAATGAATAATATATGTAAGAATCTTAAATCTTAAAGGATTCTTTAATGGATAAAGATCAAAAGCTAGAAAAAATGTAATTACAACTATAACAATTATAATAGAAAGATCTTTAAATATAATAATAAGTTAGAGAACAAAATTAGCAGATTAAAGAATTTTAAAATAATAAATAAGAATTTTAGAGTTAGATTGTATAATTATAAAAAGACAATTAACAATTTTGTAATTAGATAAATACATTGAAAGAATAATAATCTAAAGAATATAAAGATCATCTTCATATTTAAGAGCAATTCAAAAAGGAAAAGCAAACCTTAGTAGATAGAATAAAAATGTAAGATGAAAAATTATCTGAAATGGATATCAAATAAAAAAATATTGAAATATATTTGAAATAAGTAGAAGAAGAAAGATTATATAGAGTTTAAGCTGAATAGTATTATTATATATATTTTAGATCTTTTGAAGAAGTCTCTTAATAATGTATGTAATTATAAGATTAAAATAGAGATCTACTTAGATAAATAGCTAATCTAGAAAATGAATTATAAAGAAATGAAGATGAATTAAAATAATTAAAAAAAAATAACAAAAAGTATTTATATGAATTAATACAAGTTCTTAGAATTTTGATAAAACTACTTAGTAATTAATATTAAAAGATAGAGAAATATTACATCTCTAATCAGTTGTAGAAAGATTGGAGGGTATGAATAGACAGTTGTAATAAGAATGTGATAGATTGGCTGCTAAAATTTAATTAACATCACATGAGAATTCATTATTGAGTAAGACAAATAGAGAAATTAATTAAATGGGTCGTTTAATTTTAGAAGGTTAATAGATAAAAGAAATGTTAGAAAAGAAAAAGTATGAAAAACCATTAACAATTACTAATAATAAAGCTCCTTAAGTGATTTAATAACTATAATAACATAGCAGAAGACCTTCAGTTAAAAAATCTTGAGACAAATTAGTTTGATTAATATATTTATATAAATATAACTTTTTTTGATTTTCTACTTGAAATTATAATTGTTAAAATATTATTAATTAGTTATATTTTAATTATCTTATATATTCTTTATTATCTTGATATTTAACATATATTAAATTTATTTATTAAAAAAGTTATATAATTTATTTATTATTGTATATATATTTATTGATAAAATAGTTTATTAATTTAATGATGATCATTTCAAATATTAAAGGAAATAATATTGAAATCATTCAATTTACTTTTCTTTTTTGAAGTATTAAAATTATTGTTTTTATTCTTCCTTTCTTAGTTTTCTTTATTAAATTGCTCTCTCATTAATTTTCTCCATATATTCACTAAATGAAATAGCCTTCTCTTCACCATCTTTATTTTTCTCCTCATCTCCAAAAATAGCATGAATTTCAGAATCCAAAGATTACCTTCCAAATCTAACATATAATAATTCTAATGTATCCTAATATTATAAATTAATATTTTATACTTCGACTGTTACTTTTGGATCTTTTCTATCTGGTGGTAAATACATTAAAAATTAAATCATATGAAATAAACTCTTTGGCTCTAAACCTGTCTTATCTATTGTACATTTTTTGTACATATTTAAAAATTCTGTCCAACTTACTTTTCCATCAAGATTTTCATCAACTTCCTATTTTTTATTATAAATATTATAGTTTACCCATAACATAAGATCAATTTCAGATTTAGTTAGTGAAACACCTAAAAATCGAAGCATTTTATCAACATCTTTAGCATCAAAATAATCAACATCTTTTTTTTTAAGCATTTAGAATACTCTAAATATAACAATTAAGTTTACTTTTCTAACTACTTTTTCTCACTTGCTTTAATTTCTATGCCTTCTAATTTTTATTCAATAGGTTACTCTTTCTCAATCTTTTTCTGTTTCATTCTTTGTACATCAACTTAAACATTTGATTTTGGAATTTAAGCCTTAGGTAATATACCCATAGCAGCATAACGTTCTTTCATTGAAGAAGGTAATAGATTTAAATCTATTTTATTACCTTTTTTCTTTTTTTTTTCATCATCCATTTTTGTAATATTTATTATAATTATAAGACATTAATTTATTTGAAGAAAGTTTTGTTTATATATATATATCTATTTATTGAATATAATATTAAATAGAACTATTTAATTATAAATAGTTTTAAAATGTATTATTTTATGGATGTTGTAAATTAATTAACTAAGTTTTAAGTTGAATTTTATTATTTAATGAACTATTAAAAAAGTCGAATTTTAAGTGATAATGAAATACAATCCATATATGAGTAACTCCAAACAAATTTAAAATTAATGACAGAGTGTTTAAAACACAATAAAACATTAATGAAGGTTCATTAATGAAATTATCTATAGGATTTTGGTAAAGCTACTTGTGACTATGGTGACAAAATTGAGGATCTATCAAAAAGAACCATCAAAGATATGATGAAAATCAATACAAATTATATACTAAAGGAGATGAGTGGATAGGTATTTTTAAATTAAATATAAATAGATCAAAATAATTGGTTCATAAATTATAGGAACTTCTTAGGCCATTAAAGAATTAATGAATCCTATATTAGAAGAGGGTAAAGTACTAAAATAATCATATAATGATTATGTTAAGCAAATAAACTAAAGAAAGAAAGATTAAGAAGAGTAGTTTAAGAAATTAGATGAATTGAAAACTAAAATTGCAGTATATCAAACATCAGTATATCCAATTGAAAAATAAATGACAGCTTAATTTAGATAATTGAAACAATAAGAATAAATGATGATTGAAGAATAAAAACTTAAATTTATATATGTAGGATAATGTAAAACAGATTTAAATAATTTTATAATTGAAGAAAATTAAACTGTTGAATAAAAAATTAATTAAATTACTCTTAAATGTTATGAATTAGTAAGTTTGTGTATGGATGAATACAATAAGAAGTTTAAAGATATAGCAAAAGTTAAGTAATTGATGGATAATTCAATGAAATTTTGTGATAGATCTTCTAAAAGAAGTATAACACCTTAAAAAACTTAAGGATTATCTCATTGTTCATCTTAAAATGGATATAGTTAAAGATCTAGATCACCATCAACTTAACTTTAAGGAATAGAAAGAATAAGAGATAATAGTAATTCTAGATAAGATATTTCAATTGCTAAGAGCAATTATTGTTAAAAGGAGAACCTTTAAACGAAAGAACCTAGTAGAGATGCTATGATAAGTACAAGAATTTAGAGTAAAAGTTAAGCTAAGCGAAATGAAGATTTTAACATAGTAGAATCAGAGATATTTGAAGATTTTTTGAATAAAAACTATAATAATAATAATAATAAAAGTATTGGATAAAACAAATAAAGGAGTTTTTTAAAAGAGAATTTTAATGAATCAAAAGGAAATATCATGAAATCATAGAGTAAAATTAATATCAAATAAAGAAATGATAGTAAAAGACAAATTAGTAATAGATTTAATTCAGATGATGATTATATTTGATTAATTAATATTATATTGTATTATTAACAACAAATAATTCAACGTCTTGATTATTTTCCAATACCACTTTTACCAGTAAATAAGTGCTTAGGCATTTTACAATCTATTTTAGTATCACCATCACCAGCTTTAGCTTCATTTCTTCTTCTTCTTTATATTTTTTTAGACATTCTTTCCATAGCCTATAATATTTAATATGATATATTTACTTATTCTTAAGCAGTAAGTACTTTTTTATTACCTCTACTTCTACTTCTTGAGATTTCTCTAAGTCTACTTCTACTTCTAGATAATGAATCTCTTCCTTTTCTTTGATTTCTATCATTACCTTCAATATCCATATCATTATCATCACTATCATCTGATGATTATTATTATCTTTTTTATTTTTATAAAACTTTCTTTGCAGCAAATTTCTATGCTCTTTATTCTAAAAATGTAGTATCAATTCCTTTTTTAGCAAAATCTTCTTTTGCATCTTCCAAATTTGGTCTATGTAATTTAACTTATTATTTCATCTTCATATGATGTTCTTCTTTAATCATTTCTCTTTTTTTATTAATTTAATCTCTTGTATTTAATAACATCTCTTCTCTAGCATCTTCTTCTGGATCTTCAATTTCAGCTTAATCCATCATTTCTTCTTCTTTTTCTAATTCTTCTAATCTTTATAAAATATCAGCATCAACAAAATCTCCAATATTTTTACCATCCATAATTTCAGGAACAGCATCATATTTCCAATCTGGATTTTCTAATAAAAAATGTTCTATTAAATTAATTAATATATTATTATACCTTATAATGGGAATGAGAAAACACCAGCACCACCATTTTATTCTTATACATCTTTCAATGTTGGTCTATTTAATTTACCCATTACTTAAGGAATTACTGGCATTCTATTTTGATTAACCCTCTTAGGTTAAGCAATATAGACACCTTAAAGAATTGATTCTTCTCTTAAAAGATTTGGATTTCCACCTGTTAATTATTCAGGTTTAAGATTTTATCTCCATTCATTTAATAAACCACAAGCTTTTTCTTTTACTAAAGCTATTCCTTCACCTGATTTATTACTCAATTAAGAACTATATAATAAATTTTAAATTAATACTAGAACACATTTTCAGATTGAATAACATCTTATATCTTTTATTAATCAATTGGATCTAATTATTCAAATTTTTTAATATCTATTTTAGTCATAACTAATAATAATGGTTTATTTTTGAAGAGTGGTTTTAAGTCTTTGAATAATGCAATCTATTGATCAATAGAATAACTGCATGTTTCTGAGATATCCAAGAAAAACATAATACAGGCCTTTAAATGTGCAAGTGCTGTTATTGCTTACATTTCAATAGGGTTTCTTTCACTTAATGAATGATCCAAGACTCCTGGAGTATCTATTACTTACCATCGAACAAAGTTATAATCAGTATGTCCTACATAAAGATTTTAAGTTGTAAATGGATATGGTTGAACATCCAAATTAGCATTTGTTATATTATTTACAAAACTACTCTTTCCAACATTAGGGAATCCAGTTACTAAGAGAGTTCTTTCAAAGGGATTAATAGCTGGCATTCTAGATAAGTGTTTTCTAACTTCATCCAAATAATTAAGAGAACTGGTCAATTTTTTAAGTGTGGTACACATACGACCTAATGCTGCTCTCTTTAACATTTTGCATCTGTACAAGGAATCACCATATTTTAACAATCTACAATAATCCTTAGCAATATTATCAATCACATTTCTACAAGCATGTACATGTCCCAATGCCAATTTATAATGATCTTTGTCATACAATACATTAATCAAATCTGCATAAAATGGATGAATATCATCTAACTATATTATATAATAATATCAAATACTTTTGGAAAGTCTTGTAAAATGGCATCTATCTTCTCATGAATGGTTTCTTATGTATATTTTACTTTTCTCATATAAAATCCTCTAATTCTAGATATATCATATCCAGGATGGACTACTGTAGGTGTTTTCCTTTGTGTCTTTGATAAAATCACATTTATCATGTCTTTAGCAGGCATAACAGGACGTATAGTTTTGAAGTTATAAGACATTGCTATTTTTAATCACAAAAAATATTTAATCAACAATTATAATTTAATAAAGTTTATAATTCTCGAAAATGTGACAGGCTTTAAAAAAATAAAATATCAAAGCCCTTATCAAATTCTAATTTTTAAGTCTCTTCATCAAAAAAGAACTTAAAATTGGTTGTTTTTATATATAGATAATTTCACATTTGATAAAAATTATAATTCCAACTTATCAATATATTTATATCCTAAGAATTATTTTGATAACTTTAATCTAATATTTAAAGAATACATATAGATCCTAATTCAAATCCTTAAGATTTAATCAATAATTCTTAAATGCAAATACTTATAATTTCCAATTTTTGTTTAATATTTATTGATAATATCTTTAATAATCTAATTGAATAAATAATTTTAATTCTTATCACCGCATGAGTATGAGTTATTATTCAAATTATTTTTATTTTTATAATATGGTTGTTCAAGAATTAAAACCATATAATGAATTATTTTTGATTCATTAAATAGGTTTCATTTAGTTCTTTTAAAAGAGATTACTATCTAATAATGATCTCACTTGATTATTAAGATATAAAATTTAATTTTAATTAAAATAAAGATAACAATAATAATTTCTTCAGAAAATTTATTGTATGAAGTTTATATAAACTGAATTAGTAATAAATCTACTTAAGAATTTATTTTTCTATTTATAACTTTTTTTTATAATAAATTTTTGATCTTCTGATAATTAAAAAATAATCAATACTTAATCTGCTTATGGTCTATCAAATTTCTAAGTAACTATTTGAAGTTGATATTTTTAGATTTTTATTGTTATTTCTTATTTTTATGGTCTTTTAAATCATATAATCAATTATATCAAAATTAAGACTATAAATTATAAAATAATATTTCTCTTTAGATAATTTAGATAAGTTCCAATTTATTAGATTCAAGATTTACCATACTAATAATTTGTTAAATATCTATTTAATTGAAATTATCAAATTTATAATAAGTGCAACCTAAAAGGATTATCATTTTCTTTTTTAATTATTATAAATTAAAGGAATAGTTTAAATACTCTTTAATAGACATACTTTTTTATATTTTATTATGTTTAATATATATTTGATTTTGTACATATTCCTTCATTTAGGGTATTCTGGTACCATCACAGCTATTCATTTTTTTAAGGCATTCCAAAAAAACAGCGTAATTGAAGTAACAACTCTTAAATTGAACACAGAATATTTAATCAAATTTGATTTTGAATTTGCATCTAGTCATGATCCAAGCACTGATTATTTTAAAATACAAGTATAGGGATTTTAATCAATGAAATTTGGATCTTCTTCAGGATAATTTACAAATCCTTCTGCAGATGGATTGTAGTATCTTCAATTTAACGTCGATACAAATATAATAGCTACCCCATTTGTAATATTTTAAGCTACTACTGGTGCATCAATTGTGGAACATACTTGTAAAGCTAACAGTTTTGTAGGCTCTACAAAAGCCATAATTGACTAGAGTGATATAAAAACCTTTACAATAATAGGTGGAACAATAACTATTGATTCAATTAGTCTATCAAATAGGATTTTCAATTAGAAATAGTTTTATATCTTCAAACTTATTTTTGAAAATTCATTATCAGAAGGTACAACCTAATCCTTAACTTTTACAAAACCTTCAAGTTTAAAAGCTGACCCAATTATTGAATGTTCAGGAAATCCATCAATTAGTATTGAATGTTCTTATGATGAATCAAAAGAATTAATAACAATAATTAAATTAGATACTACAAAAATATAAACAATATCTCTAAAATTAACAAACCCTTTGGATCCAATTAAAAGTGTTGTTTTTGATAATTTTAAAACATAAATTGATAATGTTTAAGTTGACTCAAATGTTAATTCCTTAACAGTAACTGGGTTCAATGATGGAATACTTACAGATTTAATAATTGATAGTGGATCTTATAAGGTAGGTTAAAGTAGTGTATTTATAAAATATACATTTACTAATTTAAATGAGATATTCACTGATTCTAATATTGAATTAACATTACCTAATGATATTGAATGGGATACATCATCTAAATCTTGTTCTTTAAATTTTGCAAGTGTAACAGAATGTAAATATGAATAAAGTATAATTTCTAATAAAATAATTACAGTAACTATAACTACATCTACATCAATACCTAGTGGAACATCATTAATTTTAATAATTAACTCAATAAAAACTCCATATACATTCAAACCTGTAACTGGATTTTCATTTAAAATAATTAAAGATTCTATAGAATATGATAAGATGATAGATTTTGGAAGTTTAACAATGACACAATAAAGTGGAATTACTTTAACAACTTTTAGTAGATCAGTAAATGAGAATGGTGCTCAATCAACATATACTTTTGAAACTAAATTTGATACTTTTTAGCCTAAAGGGACTAGAATAACTTTTACTCTATTAGGATATTAGTTAAATAAGGTGGATAAAGTTGAGTTTTCTAATTTAATTCCTTATACTTCTACGAATTTATAAGTTATTTAATCAGCATATACAATAACAATAGAATTTACAGAAGATATAAATAGTAATTAAAATTATGTTACAAAAATATTTAATATATTGAATTCAGATATTATTGGTACAATTACAGCAGAAACTATTAAAGACACTTTTAAGATTTCAAATACAAATTAAGGCAGTAGTATTACAATTCCAAGTGCTATTCCAAATGAGATTACTATTTCATCTATGGATTATGAGAAAAAATAATTAGGAGTTGTAGATACATATAAATTTAGCATTATATTATTTAATTTACCACCTGCTGGATCTACAATTATTGTAACTATGCCAGAAAAATTCTCTGCTGAGAAAACAGATTGTTTAACAGCAGTTGATAATATTTAAGGATTTTCAGTTGATTCATGTTTAGTTAATAATTAGGAAATTAAAATAAAAGTAAAAAATGATGTTTCTTAAAAAAATATATAATTTAGATTAAATAATTTAATTAGGAATCCAAAAAGTGATTCTACTAATTATTATTTTAAAATAAGAACACAAAGAGATACAAGTATAATAGATTAATCAAAAATTTCAGATTCATTATTATAATTTAAATTAAATTGTATTCCTACTTCTTCATTATTTTGTAAAGAATGTGATAATTTAAGTAATTGTTTATCTTGTTATACTGATATTTCAATAACAACTAATATTTATTTATTAAATAGTAAATGTATAAGTGCTTGTGGATAAAAGTATTATAGTGATTCTACTAATAATTGTAAAAGTTGTCCAGATACTTGTTTAGAATGTACTAGTAATATATTATGTCAAAGTTGTATTGATGATACAATTTATGAAATTAAGAATGGAAAATGTGTTAAAAAATGTACTGAAAAATAATTTGATTTCAATGGTATATGTACAAATTGTAATGAGAATTGCAATACTTGTATTGATTAAAGTACTAAATGTACATCATGTGGAGTTACCAATAATTTACTTTATTAAAATAAATGTGTTTCTTAATGTCCAACAGGAATATTTTAAATTGGATTTTCTTGTATTGCATGTACATCACCTTGTAAAACATGTGATACTGGTCCAAATGTATGCCTTACTTGTGTTACTAATTATTATTATAAAAAGACATCATAAAGTTGTGTAAGTGATTGTGGTAATAGATATTACAAAGATGGAATTGAATGTACTTAATGTTCTGATCCATGCAATAATTGTTCTAGTAGTACTATCTGTATTGATTGTTTGACAGGATATTACTTTTTCAATAATAGTTGTATTTCATCAATACCAAATGGTTATTATTTATCGGGTACTTTCTTAAGTAAATGTACAGATATATGTGGAAATTGCATTTCAGAAACTGAATGTACTTCATGTCCAACAAATAAATATTTGTTATCAAAATAATGTATAGATAAATGTCCTGATAAATATTATTCATAAAATTTTGTATGTTATCCTTGTGACACAACTTGTTTATAATGTTCATCAAATATAATATGTACTTAATGTCCAGATAATTAATAACATTTAACAGGTAAATGTTATTAAAATTGTCCTAATAAATATTACTCCTAAGAATAATAATGTTTATAATGTTAATCATCTTGTGCTACTTGTATTGATGGTTTAGAATGTAAAACATGTCCAATTAGTTCACCATATATGTCTAATAACTTATGTGTTTCATCTTGCTTAATTAATTATTATATAAAAGAATTTGTATGTATCAAATGTGGAAATGAATGTAATACTTGTGATGAAAAAGGATGTCTAACTTGCATTGAGAATTACAAATATCTAGATTAGACTTGTGTAACTAAATGTCCTAGTGGATATTAAGATGTAAATTATAATATTTATTATAAATCAGTTGAATAATATAGGAAAATGTGAGAAAGTGACTGTTTCAGAAGAACAATTAATATCTAATTTGTAAGAGAATAAATATATACCTGTACCATTTACAATAGTCTCTTTAATTATGATTTTGAGTGTTGTAGTTGCTAAGATGTAAAAATCTGAGGTAAAATATTATAAAATAAATAGACATTTATTCCAGGATCAGTAGTTGGTTTATTGGGTTTAATAATTATAGGATCATGGGCAGTATTAATTATTTTATAATTGGATTACATTTTGGAAAAAATAGAAGTATATCTATTAATGAGTTCAATTGGAGTTCATATCATATTGAATCTAATTAATCTATGTGTTATTAAACATAGTATTAAAGGTGATATTGCTTTTAATTAATGGTATACAGAAAGGAAATCTAATTCATGTGCTTATATCTTTTTAAATATATTGTCAATTATAAGTTTCTCTATGACAAGATTTTATTTTTCTAGATATTTTGGATTTAGATTCTTAAAATGCAAATTATAAGATGTTGAAAATATGGTTGGTATGAATATTATTAATGGACTTTGTGCATTTGTAACATTATTATATTTATTCATTTTAGTTTTGTTGTATTCCAGCTTTAGTAGCTAGTGTAACACATTCACTTTAAGTAATTCCTGATTTTTTTTAAACACAAAGATCAAAGAAAAAATTCTCTTTTGAAGATTCAATAAATGGCTAAAAACTTAATCAAAATGAATTATATTAGGAACCATCTATACCTAAAATTGATGAATCTATTGAATATAAGGATTCTAGTTCTTTTAAATAGCCTTATCAATAAATAGTACAAAAGAATTCAAAAATGATCTTTAAATAAGAAATTTAAAATCCAAAATAAGAAATTTTTAATAGATCTCAAGAAGAGATGATAATACAAATACATAGTAATGATGTTTCTGAACCTTTATCAATAGGAGAATCATAAAGAGAAATTTAAGATATGAAATAGAAATAAATATATGAATAATAATAATAATAATTATAATAATAGAAAATATTAGAAGAATAATTAAAAATAGAACTTGAAAAAGCATAATAATTATAAAGATAATTAGAAGAATAGAATTAAATTCAGGAATAAAAGAGAATTGAAGAATAATTAAGATAAGAAGAATTAAAGAAATTAGAATTAGAAAAATTGGAAGAACTTAAAAAAATAGAAGAAGAAATCAAATAATAAGAATTAGAAAGAATTAGAAGAGAAAAATAATTAGAAGAATAATAAAAATAATATGAATTATTAATTTAGTAATAGTAAGAAACTTAAAGATTAGAAAAATTAAAAGAAGAAGAAAGGAAAATAGCTGATTTAAAGAGAATTGAAGAATAATAATAGGCTGAGTAAATAAGATTAGAAGAATTAAGAATAAAAGAAAAAGAAGAAGAAAATAGAAGAATTTAAGAAGAATAGAAAAAAATATAAGATGAATTAGAATTAAAAAAAAAAGAAGATGAAATTAAATAATTATTAGAAGAACAAAGATTATAAGAACTTAAAGAATAGGAAATACTTTAATCTAAGTTAAATAATGTAATTTTAGTAGATTAAGATGATGATGATGTTGGATGGAATATAGAAGATGAAGAAAATCATTAATATGGTTTTGATTAAAATTATTAAAAATAATTACAAAAAGAAATTATTTAAGATGATAACAATGATGTTGAAGATGATTGGGATGCTCCAACTTCTGGATTTGTAAGTATACAACCAAAATTTCAATTAAAAAAAGAAAAATAAATTGAAGAACCTTAAAATCCTTTTAAAGGGGATATTTAAAAAAATCCAGCTTAATCAGATTCATTTAAATAATCAAAAGATGATTTAGATGATGATGAAGATTGGGCTCTTAATTAATTATCTCCATCTGAATTCAATAATCTTAATTAAAGATACAATAATGAAGATAATCAACATTCAGTCACTTAAGTTTAAAGATCTTAAATGTTCTCAACAACTGATAAAAATTTTACATCTCTTGCCAAAAGACCAACATAACCTGAACCTTATACAATTAGTGATAATGAATCAATCAATTAATATGAATAGTTTTCTATAAATAAATATAATCAAGTACCTAAAAAATAAAATTAGAAATTAAATAAAAGGATGTAGTTATAAAGATAAAAGATTAAAAAAAGAGGTAAAAATAATATTTCAATTAATGACATTCAATTTTGATTTATATAAATAATGAATTAGTTATATATTATATATATTTCTTTTATGATTTATGAGATTGATTAATATAATGTAATTTAGTATAGTATTGTATATTATAGTATAAGTAATCAATTGATTTTACTATTAAAATTACTTTATGAACACAATATTATTATCCCTATTAGTTATTTATATGATAAACTTATAATAGGGTCAGACTGAAGGAGAAAATAAATACTAATAAAATATACTAATTTTTAATTCTAAACTTAAATTATATAGCTTAATATTAAGAGCTATTTATTGACTATACTTAAATAATTAACAAAGATGAGCCAAATAAGTTAAATATATAAACATGTAGTTGAAATTAATTAGCCTAAGTGAAGTTAATTTTTATCAGTATAGCAATTATCAAAGAAATCCTAATATAAAAGGATTAATTAATGGAATACAAGTAATTAGACAATATCAACTTAGATTTCAAGATTTTAGACCAAATATTAATGAAATTTATATGTCATTTTTAGGAATGTTTAAAAATCTAGAACATTTTTCATCAACTTGCTTTTATTAAGATATATAAAACATATGATAAATATAGGGGGATTTGAAAGAAAAATAAAATTCATGCTAAAATAGATCAGAAAATTAAATATTAACTAAGACAATGTATTATGAATAATGTATTAACAGAATTTAAGAATGATGAAAATATAGAATACATTTTGTTGTCTTTATTGATTGATTTAATAAATAATAACTAGTGCCAAGAAATACATATTTAATCAATTCTTGGTGGATTGATAAATATTGAAGGTTTTTCTATCATAAAAAAAAAGAATGGAATTGTAATAATTCATATTGATTGATTTGAGTGAGTTGAATGTAGCTGTTGAATTAAAAAGCACTTCTACTATAATTTTAGAAATTATTATTACATTTATATTATGAAAATGTTAATAAATCATTTTCTCTATGTTATTATTACATATATTTTAAAATTTAAGATATGCAATTTAAGCAAAAAGTAAAAATGGTATTAGATAAATAAATTAAAATTGATGCTTAAATTTTAAAAGAGATCAAGAAATGAAATCAAAGGGTGCTTTCTTAACCTTGTCAATTCTTTAGATTTTTTTGGGCAACCTCCATTTTTTCGAATTTTGAAAAGATAAAAATTTAATACAGTCTTGGGGCACATTCTAACAATTATCTTAATGATTGTTTGTGGATTATATATGTATTATTAGATATAAGATTTACTTAATCATGGAACTCCAAACATAATCATTTCAGAAACTCAACCAATTAGCATGCCTGTAATTGAATAAATTAAATTTTAGGCATTTACTTTAGATCCAAAAAATTTCACATTTGTAATTAGTATAACAGATACTTCATTATTATCATTGTCAACCTTTAAGAAACATTTTGATGTAGTTTTAACAGCTTGTAATCGAACTCGTTTTTTCAATGAAACAAAGCAAGCTTAAGATGTCTCATTATAGTAAATTACTTAATATATATTAGATGCCGCAATGTACCTTTAGAGAGTTGTAATCTAGATAAACATTTTCCCATGGATTACTAAAAGCAATTCTTCTCAAAGTTTCTTTTAAAAAATTTGTTTTGTATCAATTCTACAGTGAGTGAAGAAAATCCACCTGTAATAAATTAATACTATATAAGCAAATATAAGGATATTCAAATGCTGATACTTTTCAATTTTTACAAGTATTAATGATGCCTTGTAGAAATTCATCTACTTATAATGGATGTAGTCCTCCTGAAGAAATTTAAACTGCACTAAAAGCAGGATATTATGCTATATATTTGGGAGATACTTTATTGAAATTAGATAATCCAGGCCGACCATATGAGGAGATTATTACAGTTTAATTTTCTTCATTTTCATCAAGTCAATCTAAATAAATTTAGTCAAATTTTAAAATGATTGAGACAAAGACAGATGTAGGATTAATTAGATCTGACATAAAAACAGAATTAGCCCTACTATAATCTACTTAAAAAGATTTCTAATCTTCATATAATCAAGTATCTTACATAGAGAATCTCATTTTTATGGAATAAAGAGTTGGAAATTATAAGAGATCTTACATTAAACTATAAAATATATTAGGTAATGTTGGAGGACTATGGTAATTGGTTGCTCTTACTATCAGCACATTAGTCAGTCCTGTTGTTGCAACATTAATGAATTTATAAATGGCCAATCGTATATTCAATTTTGAAAACAATTTGAATAATAATGAATCTCCATCTGTATCACGTTCTATAAATAATTTGAATGAACATCAAAATTAAAATGATTTCATTAAGGAAGACAAAAATAAATTGGGGAATTCTTAAAAAAAATCTAAAAAGAATTTAAATTAAGTAGAAAATAGATTAGAATTAAAAAAATATTTAAAATAGAAAAAAAAATAATTGGAAATTGGTATATTTGATTTATTTTGTATGAATTTGGGAATTAAGAAATCATTTTAATAATAAATCAAATATTCAATTGAAAAAATCTTTAATAAATTAGATGTTGTAAATATATTAAATAAAATGCAAGAGATTGATAAATTGAAATATGTACTCTTAAATAAAGAATAATTAGAATTATTTAATTATATTCCTAAACCATTAATTCCATCTGATATGTTTTCAAAAGACTTTGAATAAAAACTTAATGTACTAGAAGAAAAACTAGAATTTTAATTTATACTTTAAGAAGAAAAATCTGATCTTTTTAAAATTGAATCTGCTTTTTATGCATACATGAAATTACATTAAAAGAAAAAACTTAGTGAAACAGATAAAAATATCTTAGATCTTGTTGGTGAAGATATGATATCAATTTTTGAAAAAATCAACAAAAATTAAGATGAATTTTTAATTTAAAGCAATAGAAATATTCATTCAAATTTAAATTTATTGGAATAACATTAAATTGAAATATTATCCCCTATAAGTAGTAAAGGAGATAATGTTTAATTTAATTAAAATGATAATGATATGGATTGTAATTCTTATTAAAATGATGACCATGATGAATAAGCAGCTTAAATACCACCTAAAATTCCATATAAGAGTTGATATTATATTTTATATTACAATTTCATTAAATTCAATTAAACACTTTAATAATAAATATGGGATCTAACTGTTCAAATTGTGGTTAATGTTAAAAAGATAAGCAAGAATTATTATATGAAATTGATATAACAAAAAAAACTGAAAGTAATAAAAATGGAATGTCAATGATGTCATAACCATCTCAAGCATCAAATCATTCTGTTAAAGTTTACATTTCTATCTATATTAGACTTAAACATATAAAAATTAAGTTAAGGATAATAAAGAATTATAATATCAAAAGAAATAGGAATTTTTGAGATCTTAGATGGCAATCACTATTTAAAAATAATGGAAAGGATATAAAGCAAGATAAATTTTCAAAAAGTTGAAGTAATCTCTTAATGACGTTAAAAAATATGATGAACAAGAAACAAGTTAAAGTAAATTGAAAAGAAATACATTTAAATATTTCAATTCAGAAGAATGTGCAGGTAGCCTAAAATAATTATAAATCAGATATAAATCCTAATAATACATGTCGAGAAATAAGACAGAAATATTAATTTAAGAGTGGTGCTATATATGAAGGGGAATGGTTGGGTAATAAAAGAGATGGTTAAGGAACTTAAATATGGCCAGATGGAGCAAGGTATGAAGGATAATGGAAAAATAATAAGGCCAATGGGAAGGGAACATTTTATCATGCTGATGGGGATTCCTATTCAGGATAATGGGAGAATGATAAGGCTAATGGTTATGGTGTCTATAAATAATTAAATGGAGCAATCTATGAAGGTTATTGGTAAAATGATTTTTAACATGGATAAGGGTATGAAAAATGTATTTGTATATTTTATAACAAAGGGATTGATAATTCTAGTTATAAAGGAGAGTATTTTTAAGGAAAGAAATAAGGTAAAGGTTTATATATATGGCCAGATGGAAGTATATTTAATGGAATGTGGTTTGATAATAAAATAAATGGATATGTAATATTTTTTATTATAATTAGGGAGAATATATTTGGGCTGATGGAAGAAAGTATAAGGGTAATTGGAAACATAATAAAATGCATGGATATGGTGTTTATTAATGGGCTGATGGAAGAGCATATCATGGTGAATATTAAGAGGATAAAAAACATGGGAAAGGTAAATATTTTTGGCCAGATGGGAGGATGTTTGAAGGTGAATGGATTGATGGCAAATAGAATGGAAAAGGCAAGTATATTTTGGCAGATGGATAAATTAAATATGGATTATGGGAATGTGGAAAAAGAATTAAATGGGAGGATAGATATAAATGATCTAATTAGAATCTCTTTTCGTATTTGTAATAGTATATATTAGAGTAATGGATTAAAATATTTAATAACTTAATTATCTTTATTCTTTTTAAATATTCCAATAAGCTATATTTATATATTAAAGTGCTTTGTTATTTTAAACTAGTTTATAAGTTTCATATCTCTATTTTAAATTATTTAACTATTCTGAAATTTGAATTAATTTGTATTATTTAATAAATAAAATAATTTAAGAATTTCAGAACTCAGTACATTAAATGATGAATTTTCACATAATTTTCATAAATCTAAGAATAAAATTCAATAAATTTAGATATTTTTATACAAATTAAAAATGAATAAAGAGCTTAATCAAATTGGATCTATTAAGATTTCATGATTAGCTTTTTATTTATAATATCTAAATCCTGTAATTAATGCAGCAATTAAAATTGCTCCTGCCCAAACCCATAATACTAAATATCCATTAAAACCTTCAAAAACACCTGTCTCTTTATAAAGAATTTCTTCATCATGACACATTAGATCACAATTATTACAAGAACATTTTTCAGATATTACGAATCCATCTGGTGTAACGATTTTCCCATCTGGACCAGGTGGATATTCATATTTGCAATCAGGAACAAAATCAAAGTTAATAGTCTCTTCATCATTATCTACAAACTTGACTGATATGAATTATTTAGCTTATCCACTAATTTATAAATCATAATATATACACTGCCTGTTCTCCTTGGAAATTAAAGAATCCTCCTGGAGTTTTCATAGCTGTAACTTAAGATGCAAATTATGTTCTTTTACAAGATGACCACATGTCCTATAGAGATTTAAACATAAATAATTTACACATGCCACTTAAGGTTTGACTTTAATTTCAACTAACTAAACTTTTAATATATTCTTAGGGTTTAATGGATCTTTCATGTTAGTATATCCATTTGTGGTTAAGAATTAACTTTAATTAGGACTACAAGTATACTCACACCAGAATTTCTTCAAATTATAGGCACAACTAAAAATGATGGAAAATATTATACATATCACATCCACCACCAGCATTACCAAAAGATGCATCTATGGCTTGAAAATTTCGTTGCATTTGGTCATCTTAATTTTTGTTACAACAGACCATGGTTCCATCCATATGAGGACATTATGAAACTCTTGCTACAAAGGGTTCAGTATCAACCTCTAATGGATCACAATTATTTCCTTGACATTCTACAGAGAATGCACATCGAGAATATGAATACGTAATGAAGGTAAATAATATTATCATTAAATTAAATAATATTATTATTTAAGGAAATTAAATCATCCTTAACTTTAATGTTATAAATTTTATTTATCTATTTATGGATTCATTTTAATAACATAGAAATCTTAATTATCCCATATCATTTTTCAATTACTTTATTATAAGAATAAAAAAGTTATTGATATATTTTAAACATAACAAAATTATTAAAATAAATAATATTATTAAATCAAATCGTTTGATGTTTAGAAAAATACCTTAATAAGAATGATCTTATACTTTTGATAGATATTATTTTTAATTTTTTAATTTTAAATTATCTTCTTATAGAGTATATTGAATATAAACAATAAGAATCATTAAAATTTATAGGTTTATAAATAAAAGATTTATATATTTATTAAAGCTCTATTTACTCTTAAATATTAAATCTAAGTAATTTCAATAACTTTTAATATCTAAATAAGTACTTGCTTCTTAATCATATTATATATAAAGTAACTCTTTTTTTTAAGTATCTATTTAATAACATATAATTTAGTATTTAATATCTTCATAAAATTTACTTAAATAATCACTAATAAAATTGAATGTATTAATTAAACATATATATATATATAGATAATAATATTATCAAAGGAGATTTTTAAATTTTAATGCACTCTTGAATAAGCATTCAATAGGACTCTATTAATATTTATCATATCCTATAATTTTGGTTTGATCTTTAGGTATTAGCATATAAATTTATGCTTCTCCATCATCATGTATTTAATGTACTAATTTCCCACCTAATGATTCTACCAAATATTCTAATTCGAAATGTTCAATATGATAGATCATTCTTTTTGGAACATATATTGTCACACCTTTTAAAGGGAGTATTTTGGCTTCTTTACTAATAGTATTAAATTTCATGCTTACCATTTTTAGAGTCTTTTTTAATATTATTTAAAATCAAAATTGTATTCTTTACAAAATTCATTAGAAAATTGAACATAATATTAATTATGATCAAGTATTTCATATTAATTTATTGATCTAGTTAACCAATTCCTAGAAATAATAGGTATTCCTTTAGCTAAAGCAATTAATAATTTAATTGATCTCAATTAAATATTATCTTCCATAATTAACATATTAAAATTATAATCTTCTAAACATATTTGAATATTCTAAAGTAATAAAAACTATTATTCATCTCTACTTGGATGAAATCCTGAAAATGCTATACAAAATTTCCATCTATTACACTTTCTTTAACTCATTCTATAACTTTCTTTTTTAATTTCTTTCATCAACTTATGATTACTTTTTTTTTTTGGAGAACTTTCTCTATCTTTTCGTTAAGGTATAATTAAGTAATCTAAATTAGATGTATTATTTTGTATTTTTTTTTTATCCTTTTAATTATTATTAAAATCAGGAGTTCCATTAGATAACATCTCAGTCTATTATTCATAATCATTTAATTATAATATATCTGTTTTTTAATTGATTTCATTTTATTTTATTTATTCAAAATTTGATTTCTAAATATTCTATTGTTATTGTTCTAAATTATTTGTTTGCTATTAAATAATTGAAATTGAATTAATTTCATCTATATTATTTTACTCTTATTCTTAATTTTATTATAATTGTTCTAATTCACTCTATTGAGATGTATATAAACTTTCAACAATTTTCACCTCTATTGTAGATAGTCGTTCTTGTAAATTAAATTATTTTATTTCCTTTTATGGCTATAATCTTGGAAGATAATGATGTTATGTTCCATTAACCACTTAAACTTTAGCTTCTATACATTAACCTAATCTAATTGAAAAATCCGCGCATTCAATATTTAAACTTATATCAGGAATAATTGTACCTAAGAATAGAATCCTTGGCCAATTATTCAAATTGTCCATCTTCATTCTTATAAAAGACTGGACCATCTAAAACAATAAGTTCTATTTCATCTTCATTCAATATAACACAACAATGATTATTCACAATTTATTTATTGTTTATACAAATTTCATGTTCCTGTGTATTACCAATCATATTTGCTCCAATTTATAAATTGAATTTAATTGGAAGAGCTATATCTTTTAATCTTATGGATACCATTTTTATAAGGTAATATAACAAACTTGACCAGTTTCTAAGTAAAAAACATTTGAATGTTAAAATAATTATATATAAATGATTAAACTCATAATTAATCATAGAAATTCTTGAATTGATTTGAGATACACTTTTAATCCTCTTAAAATTTCCATTTTATAATACACATTATTGTGAATCTCTGATATATAAGACTATTTCAAATCATTACTTTCTTTGTATTTTTTTAATATAATAATGGCATCTAATAGTATCATAATCTAATTGATAAGTATCTCTTTACGTTCCTTATTAATATGAAGCTATAATTAATAATGATAATTTGTACTGCAAATCTTCTTGAGAATGATATTTATGATTCTAATTCTTTAATATCTTAAGCCAATTCTTAAGAATAAGAATTTAGATAATGTTGTAACAATTATATACAAAATTGCATCACGAATACTTCATAATCAACTGATACTGGTATAGTGATTAATACATCTTTGATTTAAACTTGATAGAGCATGAGATACAATCTTAAATACATAAGTAAATCCATATTAAGTTTATTCTTTTTGATTCTAAATTCCTTTGTAATTGATGAAATAGGAATTTCATTACCATTAAATTTAATTTTACCTGAATCCCATTCTTCTGGACTAATCAACTTATTGATGGTAATTGTATCAAAAATCTATTTCTGACTTAAGATCTTTTCTTTACATATTTCTGTATTGAGCCATAACTTTTTTTAGAATCAACTTCTTACCCTAAAATTAAAAGAACTGTATTTATTTTCAGGTAAAGTAAATCCATACCAGCTAAGTAAGAATCTATTGGTTCTTCTTCCATAAGACACAGTCACTTATTCATGTTTCTTTATTGGCTCTGTAGTTGTGATACAAAAATAGACATCTTTATCATTTTCTTCAAGCCAATCCCATTTTGATTCTTCACTACTATCACTTTCATTGTCTTTATTCTACTATTATTTTTATTCCTAAATGAATGATTAAATCTATTATTTCTATTGTTGAACCTCCATCATCTATTATTATCTCTATTTTAAAGCCTAGATCTATTATGGAGGCAAACCTTTGATGGTTACTAAATTTTTCTTTTCTAGCATTATGCTCAAAAAATAATACCATTATTTAGACAAATAGTCAAAATGCTTTCATTATCTGTTTGGCTTTTTAATTCTCCATCACTTTATTCTTTATCTACTTCTTAATTTTATTGAACTATAGGTTATTCTATTGATTATTCTATTTATTATTCTTTTTTAATTTCTTATTCATTTTTTTCTTTTTTCTAATTTTTCTATTGTTTCTTTTCTTCAAATTTAAGTTTCCAATCAGATAATTCTTTTATTTTCAATGTTTCAAATTGTTTGTTTCTAGCTACTTCAACATCTTCATCAGAATCATTATCTTCACTATCTGAAGAAGTAACAAATCCTAAATCCCAAAGATTTACTTCAGAATTTTAAATCATTTATTCATAATTAATCCAATTAATCATGGCTCTCTTATCAGCATTTGATATATTATCCAAATTATCTATATCTTTCAATTAATTTTCAGTAAGATATTGTTAATGTTATAAAATATATGTATTTTTTGGATCAATGAATTTTTTAAGTTAAGATTCATCTTATTTTATATTAAGAACATTTAAATTTATTTTATTTCCCTTTAATTTATATTAATCATGCACTATCTACATAAAAGAATCTTCATCACTATCATTATTTTATTCATTTCCACCATCTTTTTTAGCTTAAAGTTTTTCTTATTCAAGCTTTTCAATTTTAGAATGAACCAAATAATGAGTACATGCCTTATTAGAATGATTAAGAAAATCAGCAATAGGAATCATACTAGTTGATTTTAATGACCATCCAAAACATCTACTCATTACACTTTATGCAGCCCAATAAAAATCTTCTTTATCTGTTGGTCTTGTTTCTCCAAAAATTTAAATAAATTCATTAAATATATCTTTTGCTTAATTCCATAATTCTTTTAAATCTTCACGTACTATAGCAAATTCATCTAATATTATAGGATCTTCAATATAATTTAGTTCTTCTTTTGTCCAATCAATTAAAGTATTATTAGATTGTATAGCTTAAACATATGGATGATAGAAAGATTTTTCACCTTTCTTTTTTTCATTAAACAAATAAAAAACTAAGCATCTAATGTAAAATAATTACTTAAAATATTAAATTCAGCATCTGATGTCTCATTTTCATCAAATAATTCAGGATGTTTATCGTAGACAATAGATAATGAACTTAATTTGCATTTTTCTTAAGATATGATCAATGGTTAAGGTACACAAATAATTGCCTTAAATTTATAATAAAAAACATAATACTGTATTAGCAGGAATATCCTTAGTAGCAACAACACCAGTGAGTTCTCCAAAGGCTGCTGGCATATCTACATCTTTGATGATAACACCATTATCTAATCCCCATTTTAAAAGATTTTAATATCTTGGATTAAGCTTTATTTCATCTGTTTTCTCTTAATCAAATTTCATATAAGAAAATAAATAAATATATATATAATGTAAATAAAAAGAGTCAATCACGATTTAAATTCAATAACTTATTAAGTGATGAATGAGTCTTTGTAGCTTCAACTAAGAATTGATAGTATGATTGCCAATCAAAATGAGATTAATTATTCTTTTTAACCTATTTCATAAACTCAACTTTTAATTGTTGAATTAAACTATTTACACTTTAAATACTCTTAAAATCTTTCATCTTTTTCATTTATTATTTAAAAGTATCTCTTAATAATTTATCAATATGTATAATAGGTATTAAACCACATTATTCTTCATCATAATTATCAAACACTTTTTTCATTAAAACTTATGGTGTTTATCTTCTTTACATTGATTCTTCAGAACATAAATATTACATCCATTCACATCTTTCAATTATATTATTATGATTAGTATCTATAATTGACATTTCTTAATTGATTCTAAAATAATCTGGTTCTTCATCTTCATATAACCAAATTAGTAATTTAAGATCTTTAATATTAATAATTGATAATTAATTAACATCAGTTATTGAATATACATTCCATGCTCTAATAATATCCAAATAATCACTTTTCTTAACTGAGATATTTTAAAGAAGATGTTAATTCTTTTTATGATCTGCTTTCCAAGCCCAAAGATCTTTTTATTATTATGAACTTTCCTCTTATCCAATACTTTTAGATCTTAATGTATATTCTATAATCATATAAAATAAAGTATCTATTGATAATTAATCTATTCCCTTATAAATTTAATATAAATTCTATTGTAATTTAATAGCTGGTACTTAAGGTGCTTTACATTCTCTCAACCATTTATTAAATTATTATTCTGATTCATCCATAGCATTAACCATTCTTTTTAATGCATATTAATATGTTTATGTTCCAGAATATAATAACATAAACTCTTACAATTCATCATATTATACAGTCCATTCATAAAATTCATCAAAATCAACATGTTTATTTTTATCTTCATCCATCATTTAAAAACAAACATAACCTAATTTCTCTAACATACTAACAGATGGAATCACTAAACCAGCTATTTTACACATTGCTCTAACTGCACATTATAATGTACTAACCATCTCTTATTCTTCTAAAGTATTTGACAAATCAAAATCAAACAATCTAAAAACAAACATACATTTTGTTTCAAAACTCTCTCCACTAAATATAGCAAAAGCAGCCAATGCTTCAAATGTATGAACTGATAATTTTCCATCTTCTCCAGTTTGATCAGCCAATCTATGAAAGAGATCAATACAATTATCAGTTAATGTAGCAAATATATCATCGAATTATTCTAAATTCAAATAACAATTCTAAGGATAATATTTATCTATGGTATCTACACAATCAAAAAGTTCTCTCATTGTTATGCTTTTTAATTTAACTATTAGAGATGGTTCAAACTAAGTTGCATGTTTCTAAAATATTTACCCCATTTTTAGTATATAGAAAATAATAAAATCAATTTTTATAAAACTTATCACCTTTCCATTCACCACTCACTTCATAGCCATCATATCTAATCAAACTACCATGTCCATTTCGTTTCCCATTCATAAACTATTTATTATTATATACTATTACTTATCCTTAGTATTAACTACCATCAGGATAAGTATATACTCCATATCCATTAATATCATTATTTTAGAATTGACCTTAATAAAAACTACCATCTCTCCAAAATATCATTCCATCACCATCCATTTAATTACATTTGAATTATCCTTAATATCTAATTTTTAATTAAATGCCATACTTTGATCCATTACTAGACAAGTACACTCCTTCTCCTTCTCTCATTCCTCTAATGAAATTACCACAATAAATAGATCCATTCTTGAAATATTCTTCTCCATACCCATGTTTCTCATTATTCTCCCATTATCCCTTATAAATTGAAGAATTATGATTAACATATTCACCAAATCCCTGAAATCTATTATTTACAATGTTTCCCTAATAACTAAACATAATAAATAATTCATATACTATTCATCTTAACTATATTGTAGTCTACATATTCCAAATGCTCTTCCATTAATCCAATTACTTAAATATTATCATTTTATTCTTACCCTTCCAAAATTGAACCATTAGGATAGATCAATATCCCATAACCATTTCTTTCACCATTTTCCATTTCTCCTAAATATACCAAACCGTCCTCTAAAGCTATTGCATTAGCTAAACTCTCCTTTTTTAGAAGTTTTTATTGGATCATTGTGAGTTTATCGCTTTAATCTAGAGATTCTGAGTTTAGTGTTCTGCCCTCAGTGCACAAAGCAAACATTAGATAAATTAATCTAAATTTATTCTAAATCTCATCTTAAATACATAAGCAATCATAATTTGATATCATAGGACGTCTTAATAATAAAGAAAACGACTTCAATTCTAAATATATTATTACCTTATTCTAATAATATGTTTAACCAACAGTTATCACCTTAAAATTAAAGATACTCTTAGATATTTTAATATGATACTAAAATTAATTAGTTAAATCTTTAACAATTTACTTAAATAATTTAATAATATTTTTATATAATTCTAATATTATAATGTAATTAATTATTAAAAGTATTTTAAATTGACAAATAGTTACATATTCTTTAATAAAGTAACTATAAGCATGTTTATTGAAAATTTTTTAAATATTTTTTAATATATTGTTGCTAATTCATTTTTATTATTATATTTATTATGAATTATTAAGCTGTTTTGGATTAGATCAAATTTTATGAACCACATTTTGATGATTATAATTTCCTTGATCTCTAAAAGTTGAATGCTAAATTAACTATCTCTAATAATTATGTTTATTATGGTCAATTTGAAAACAATCTAAGACATGGAAAAGGTTAATTCAAGATCTCTATCAGATAGGTATACTCTTATAATAGAATGGACGGAAATATGAAGGGTAATGGTAGAATGATTAGAAATATGGTTATGGTTGGGAATTGTTGGCCAATGGATCTCAATACGAGGGAAATTATGTTATGGGTAAACCACATGGATAAGGCAAATTTATTTGGCCTAATGGAGAAGTCTATGAAGGTTAATGGAACTAAGGTGCTAAGGAAGGTCAAGGTAATTAATTTAATCCTATATTTAAAAGGAACATGGTATGGTTTAAAGGGAGAATAATATTAAGGGGAATGGATAAATAATGTAGCTTTTGGTTATGGAGAACATATACATAGTAATGGAGATCGTTATGTGGGAAATTTTAAGGATTGGCTTAAAAATGGAGAGGGTTAAGAATATTTTAGCAATGGAGACAGATACTAAGGGAACTATTTAAATGGTAAACCTCATGGTTATGGAGAATACTTTTGGAGTAATGGGGCAATATTTTAAGGGTATTTTAAGGATGGATTAAGATGTGGAAAAGGAATTTGGAAAAGAAGAGAAGATTCCCCATCAGATTAATATTAAGGGGAATATGATGAAGATAAGAAAAATGGATATGGAGTATATAAATGGTCTAATGGCAATGAATATAGAGGCATCTTTTTAAATGATTATAAACATGGTTATGGTGAAATGCATTATGTTGATGGCAAGATACTTAAGGGAAATTGGGAATAAGGGAAATTAGTTAATGAAATTAAATAAAATTCATCTAAAAAAACATCACATTCATTTGATAATCATATTAAGATAGTTGATAATACTCATAGTTATAATAAGAGTTATTAAAATAGAAATATATTTATGGATAATCAATAGGAAAATAATAACTAAATTAAAAGTAATCCTTACAATGATAATGATAATGAAAAGTTAAGTAATTCATATGCTGATGCATTAAATAGTAATAAAAATATCAATAATAATAATAATAATAACAATAACAATAGTAATAATAATAGTAATCCAGCTTCTTCTCAAACATATAGAACCACAAAAACCATTCGGATTAGATAATATTAAAAAGACAAATCCTTTAGTATGAGTTAACAAACTTCACAATATGTACCATCTAGTCCAAAAAGAGATATATCAGAAAAGAATGAAAAATAAAAAACATAAACTAAATTTTGCATAAAAGCATAAGACAATTTCTATCTACATATAAGAAGACCAAAATAGTTTTCTTTATACTAAAATTGATTTTACTTACTATTCATTTTTATATAAATAATTATTTATGACATGTACAAAATAATAAATAAAATATATTTTAGAATTTTTAAGAGTTTTCTTATTCGACAAAGGCTAATCTATTTATCAGAATCGAAAAATGTTTCTGGCAAGAATTAATTAGGTTTAATTTTATTTGGCATTGTATAATCAAAGAGAGAAGGAGCTCTATTTAACAATGTATAATGTGATTAAGTTTACACAAATGATTATAAGAGGTAGTATAATTATTAACTTAAGATACATTGAATTTTATGCTCACATTGAATTAAAAACCACATATACACCATTATTAAGGGAAATTCACAAAAATGATGTTATATAAAAATCTTAATTTCAGGTTTCTATTTAATCAAAACAAAAAAAAATTTTTTTTTTAAATACTGAAATTTAGGAAATAGTTGAAACCTTTTTTAATTAATTTTTTAGAGAATAAATAGACTAAAATTGTTTATTTTTCTGATAAAAAATCTTATAAATTTATAATTAATTATCTAATAATCGTAATATTTTTAATATCAAAATTAACTAGGATTATAAATAGATAAAAATAACTTCTACAATTCTTCAGTTAAGTAGTTTAGCTCTTATTCTAAGGGATCATAGATGAATAAAGTATTAATTTTAAGTCATGCTGAATTTATAGCAGAACTCTCAGATATCTTCATCAAAGAAAAAATTTTCATTTTTCTAAAAATGAATATCCATTTATATAAACTTTAAATCGAGCTGTATGAAATTGGATATCTATATGTATGATTTAGAGAAATGGAATTATTTGCATCATTAATGAATTGGAAAGAAGAATTAATTCTCATTTCGATTCAATTAATTGAATATTGATTAATATATATATATATAATATTGTAGTTTTATTTAGTTTTTTAATTATATAAATTTGATTTTTTAATCATTATTCCATATTTAAATTATTATCCAAATTTATTTAAAATATCATGCATTGTAGTTCTCTAAGTGTGATCCTAAATTAATTTAGATGTTATAAAACATAAATATTTCATATTTAAATTAAAGCATAAATTACAAGAAAGCAATTCAGTTTTAATTTTCTATATATAGAAAATTCAAATAATTAAGAGTCACATTGAAGTTTAAAGAAAATAAAGAAATTTGTTAAATAAATGATATTAAATCATACAAGTACTCTCATTAATTCGAATTCTCCAAAGAAATTCAAATTGTTAAGTTCTTAACTTCCATATAAACTCCAGGAACCAATAAATTTATTTTCCTCTTTATTGTATACCCCTTTAAATTATTGTAGTAAATATAAATGATCACATTTTTCATTCTTTTCTAATAATTCACAATCAAGACTTGTTCTTAAATGAATGTTGATTTCTTGTTCTTAATTTATAGATATGTGTCCCTCTGCTGACCAAGGATCATGATCTTATTCATTTCTAATTTATAGCTCTAGTTTATTATGAGAAGTAAAGAAGGACTAGAATCTCAGTAGTTTTTGAGTAGAGAAATTCTTATAATTGAAGCTGGTTAACTTCCATAATGTAAATTACATCTAATCTTATATACTATTAAGCATTCCTATATTAGCTTGAAGAGATAAGCGCTTTTCTTGCAATAATTTCTATTCAATTTCTTTTTTAACTTTTTTCCTTCTACTAACTTCGACAATTGTTCCACAAACACATATTAGAAGGAAGAGACAAAGTATAAGTATAATTACAGGAAAGCTGTCATTATCATCTTAATTCTACTCTGACGTAATTGCTTATGTATTTTAAGAAGTCTAGTCAACGTCTTTTTCTGAGAGAAATCTTACATGTTTAGAACCTAAGTTCTCCTTTTCTTCTCTATTATCATCAATCAACTAGGCTAGTTAATGTAACATCTTATAAATAAAAATCTTTATTATTGTAACAATTCTTATTTTTCTTTGAATGAGCATAGTCCATATTATATGATAAAAATAGATTTTTATAATATTATCATAGATTCACTATTTTTATAAATTTTGATTTAATAAAGTCAAAATATTAGTAGCATTAGATAAATTATGGAACTAAGAAAGAAAATAATAATTAAATTGACATTTATACTCTTTTATAACAAATACCCATATTTCAACTTAATTCTTTTTCTACTTCTGCTAAGTCTTTGGGCATTTCATCAATTTTAGTGTTGTAATATTTTTCAACTTCTAACAAGAGATTAGCTTCTTGTTGTGCTACCATATTAATGGCAACTCCCTTTCNAATTCTCATTTCGATTCAATTAATTGAATATTGATTAATATATATATATATAATATTGTAGTTTTATTTAGTTTTTTAATTATATAAATTTGATTTTTTAATCATTATTCCATATTTAAATTATTATCCAAATTTATTTAAAATATCATGCATTGTAGTTCTCTAAGTGTGATCCTAAATTAATTTAGATGTTATAAAACATAAATATTTCATATTTAAATTAAAGCATAAATTACAAGAAAGCAATTCAGTTTTAATTTTCTATATATAGAAAATTCAAATAATTAAGAGTCACATTGAAGTTTAAAGAAAATAAAGAAATTTGTTAAATAAATGATATTAAATCATACAAGTACTCTCATTAATTCGAATTCTCCAAAGAAATTCAAATTGTTAAGTTCTTAACTTCCATATAAACTCCAGGAACCAATAAATTTATTTTCCTCTTTATTGTATACCCCTTTAAATTATTGTAGTAAATATAAATGATCACATTTTTCATTCTTTTCTAATAATTCACAATCAAGACTTGTTCTTAAATGAATGTTGATTTCTTGTTCTTAATTTATAGATATGTGTCCCTCTGCTGACCAAGGATCATGATCTTATTCATTTCTAATTTATAGCTCTAGTTTATTATGAGAAGTAAAGAAGGACTAGAATCTCAGTAGTTTTTGAGTAGAGAAATTCTTATAATTGAAGCTGGTTAACTTCCATAATGTAAATTACATCTAATCTTATATACTATTAAGCATTCCTATATTAGCTTGAAGAGATAAGCGCTTTTCTTGCAATAATTTCTATTCAATTTCTTTTTTAACTTTTTTCCTTCTACTAACTTCGACAATTGTTCCACAAACACATATTAGAAGGAAGAGACAAAGTATAAGTATAATTACAGGAAAGCTGTCATTATCATCTTAATTCTACTCTGACGTAATTGCTTATGTATTTTAAGAAGTCTAGTCAACGTCTTTTTCTGAGAGAAATCTTACATGTTTAGAACCTAAGTTCTCCTTTTCTTCTCTATTATCATCAATCAACTAGGCTAGTTAATGTAACATCTTATAAATAAAAATCTTTATTATTGTAACAATTCTTATTTTTCTTTGAATGAGCATAGTCCATATTATATGATAAAAATAGATTTTTATAATATTATCATAGATTCACTATTTTTATAAATTTTGATTTAATAAAGTCAAAATATTAGTAGCATTAGATAAATTATGGAACTAAGAAAGAAAATAATAATTAAATTGACATTTATACTCTTTTATAACAAATACCCATATTTCAACTTAATTCTTTTTCTACTTCTGCTAAGTCTTTGGGCATTTCATCAATTTTAGTGTTGTAATATTTTTCAACTTCTAACAAGAGATTAGCTTCTTGTTGTGCTACCATATTAATGGCAACTCCCTTTCTACCATATCTACCAGCTCTTCCAACTCTAAAATAATAGATTTCAATATTATTACCTATGGATATATTGTTCCTTTAATCTTGGGAATTCATAATTGATGACTAATGATAATTATTGTACATCAATTCCTCTACCCATAAGATCTGTTGAAACAAGTATTCTTGCAGCTCCTTTTTTGAATTCTTGCATAACCTAATTTATATACATTTAATTTACTTATTCTCTTTCTTTTTATTCCATTTGACTATGTATTTTACTTACAGTAAAACCTTCAGTAGTCAATTTATCATACAAATCATCAACGGTTTTTTTGGAATTGCAAAATAATATTGATTAAGAAACTGTTAAATTTTTATACAATTCAACTAAAACTTTGAATTTTTGATCTTCTTGTTGGATTGCAATGTAGAATTATCTAATACCTTCTAATGTCAATTATTCTTTTTTAACCAAAATCTTAGCTGTTCCTTCTCTCAAAAACTATTTACTTAATTCAATAATTTCTTATGGGAAAGTAGCACTAAATAATGCTAATATAACTTTAAAAATCATAAATACCAATTTAAATATCTCCTGGTACCATTTTTAGGATTTCTGCAAAGTTATCACTAAAACCTTAGTCTAACATTTAATCAGCTTCATCTACAACAAGCAATTTCATAAATGTAGCATCCAAATATTTATTTTTCATCATATCAATCAATCT